GAGTTTTGATATGATTTTAATAAGATATGCGATTTAAGTTTTAAACTACAAGTATGAATGCAAGTACAATTGATTGTTACTTTTTAAACTTGCAATGCACAAATGACTATCAAGTAATAATAGTGAGTAAATAAAGTATTGTTCCTGTGAAGATTATGTTTGGGGTGTAAAACCAAGTACAAAGGATATCTTACTAACTTTATATTTAAACAAGTCGAAAGATTGATTGGTTGAAAGCAAAAGTAAAATAATGAAAATTTTAAATATACAAACCGAAAGCCTAACTAATCAACTGTCACTTGATATCTTTAAGTGTTGGTTGAATATAAAAGAAAATAAAGGAAAGCAAGATCAAATTGTAAATGGCTTGAAAAGAGAATAACTGAATGCTTTGAAAAGTAAATTAGTACTTGAGAATAACAAATATATGTGTAAAGAAAGAGAGTTTTGAATAAACTTGTATTGAAAATAGCTTGTATTAAAGAAATCTTTGGAAAAAAGAAAACTGTGGCTAATCTGTCACCTTAGCTAAACTAAAAGAATTATAAAGAAAACTTAAAGAAAATCGAAAAAAAAAAAAAAAAATAGATGAGATAAGAAGAAATGTGATGTGTTTACAAGTGAAATGGCCTAACTTATTTATATAGTACTAGGTTTGACCAAAAGAGATAAAGTTTAAATAGTCCTATTTTAACTTAAACTCTAAAGAGATTAAAATGTAAACTTGATCTTGATAAGAAGTTGATCGATTATGAGAAACTTCAAGAATGAGATAGAGCTTGTGTTGGCCAAATGGGATTTCTTCATTGGTTGCCTATGCTTATATGTCTTGCCAAATCAACATTATCTTTGGATGAAATATTCAGCTAAGATAGTTTCAAGACAAAACTTTTTCTTATTTGGTTTACTTGATTTCAGGTTCTTTTGGATTAAAATTCAAAGAATCCTTCTTGCACAATAACTATATAGCCTTAACCTTTTTTGATATGTTCTTCTTAGCTTAAAACTCCTTTAGGATAAACAAAGAGTCCTCATGCAATTATAATTTTTTTTTGCTGAATTTATCATGATCAATCCTTAGCTAATTGGTTGGGCTTTATCCTCTAAGTGTATGGCTAAATAGGGTTGGAATCTTGATCATAACTAAATACTTCAACCAACTTTGCATAGGATGTATGACATTCACATACATATTAACCAAACCCTAAAATCAAGATTTCATACATTAAAAGTCTAAATTCATGAAAATTTTCAAAATTTAATAGCTAAAATGGACTTACAAAAACTATAAATTTAATAGTCATCAACAATCTTGTGATATATTTGACAGTTGCTTCTTGTTTACTTATTCTAATGTGTACTTTTTTAATACATACGATGTATCATATACTTAATTGTTAATAGTATGATGCCGAATATAATTGATATTAACATTTGTAGGAAAGTCATGTAAATTTATCATCATAGAATTAAAAATTGATGACATTTGAAGGCTTTATTGGTAAACAAAATGAATAATGCAAAAGAAGAAATGAATTGTTATAGTTGTGAGAAATGAATTTTTACACTATTAACATATTTCTTAACTTTGTTTAATGTAGAAGAAGGAATGAGTTAACGCATACAATAATCTATTTTACTGACTAAGCTTTGTAACTTTTCTATAAATGTTTGGTTTGGCCACCATTATAAACACTTTTATTTAAGTGAATATGTCATAGTGTTGCAATATGTCATAAATTTATGGGAAAAATATATGCTTTAATTTTCAAACCCTTTTGTTTAATTGAAAATAACTAATTTTGATATTTTATGAATTGATGTATATAATGATGTTTTATGTTGCTACAATGTTCCTATTTCTTTAATAGGTAAAATTTTCTCTTGTATCCATTATATGAATTTCAATTACTTAAGTAGTTCAAAACTTAACGATGCATAAATTATAGGGGAAAATGAAAAGATAATAGTGCTTTCATTTTCTACCCATCGAATGTATGCAAAAACAAGGTTCATTATATATTTAGAAAAATTGTTTTTGCACTGAGGTAATGCCAACACATTTTGTCCATTGGAACAAAAATAAAATCTTGTAAAAATACATATAGTGTTGGTAATATGCCCTAAGACCAATTGGATTGATTATGGGATACATGTTATATTATGCATTTATATTATTATCAAAAGTATTCTTTATTTATAAGATTGTATACTATTGATATTACTTATTTCTTATAGATAAAGTCATTGGAATAAATATGCTTTACAAAGGAATTACAATGAGATTGTAATTATGAGATCATCATCGCATTAAATTATTATTCCTAAATTATTCCTAGTTGATGTTTTTTAAGAAAAAACATTGATAAAAGCTATTAAAACCAGCACATGGTTGTACTATTACTTATGAAGCAAGCAACTAATCTCATAAGTTGAAGTTTAGGTAAACTTGAGCTAATATGTAGGTGCTTATTACAAGAACAAGTTCACTAAATATGACCTGATGTGAGAGTGTTATATGATAGTTCACATTGTGTATAGCTACATTCTTATGTGATGGATGTATAAATGATCTTTTGACTTGAAATTGTTTATAATCTTATATGATTAATGTTATATTTTGACTTTACTTATAGTTCTAACCAAGAATGCTCAATTCAAGTATTGTTGGGTATAACATGAAGTATATGAAGATGCATGAAGTAATCAAATATGATCATCACCTTGGGTGATCAAGAGAGTATCTCTATTAGTCTTGATTAAATTAACCCAAAAAATATTTGGCTAAAGTGAAATAAGAGTTTAAAATTTTTTTAAAATTTATTTTTGAGTTAATGTTAATGACAAAACTTAACATGGTTGAACAAGATTGAGTACACACTAAACCATACCAAAATTCAAATTGAGATACTATGTGATAAAAAGATGTTAATTATATATTATGACTATTCACAGACAGGTTGTTAAGCCATATTGACTTTTCTTTAATAATTGGGAGTCATGACACTGTAGCTAGTATTGATCATAATCTATAAACATAAGATTGGTTAATTGGAGAATTAGTGATGAAATTAAAAAGTTTGTTTCATCCATAGCCAAATGGTAAGGCTCACAATGCTTATATTTATTATCAATATGCTAAAAAATCTAATGGGTGACACACAATAGAACAATTGTGAAAGATTAAAATTGGGATAGATTAAGTTAGACTTAATTTGGTTTTATTGAGATCAAAAGATAGAGGAAATAAAACAAGATAGAGAGAAAGACTTTTCTTGTTTAAAGCTTTCGGCCAATCGTGGGATACTTTTTAGAAATATACATATCTTGTATTAACCTAAAAAGAACATTAAGCTACCACTCCTCTTGGAAGATACAAGGTATATTAGATGCAAAAAATAAGCTAAGAGCAGCTTAAAAGGAAAAACTTAAGAGAACAAGAGGTTTTATAAATACTCATTAGCTAGAGTATGGTTTATGTTTTTCTTACCTTAGAGAAGTTCTTTCATAAGAATTCATATGGATCACCATTAGAGATTGCACGTTCAGGTAACTTTGTAGCTTGGGAAACAATTTGGAAGATATCCACCTTGAAGCAAAATAGTGTCGACAAAAAAGGTACACACTCATAGTCAAAACCCATATATGTTTACATGTATTGTATGTTAGTATGATTTTGTTGATTGATCATGGTTTTAGGGAATTAAAAATTTTAAAATTTTGTTGCTTTAAGTTTATATATAAACAAACTATATTTTGAAGGTAGTATTATAATATTATATTTATTCATTTTAATTATTAAATATAATAAATTATAATATATAAGTAATTAGTATTAAAACTAGTTGTATTAAATAAATAAACTTCTTAAGTCTTTTACGGATAAAATTTAAAAATTATATAATTTAATGTTTATATGTAAAATTATATTTATACTATTTTTGTTATACTTAAAATTAACACTCAAAATCAAATATTGTAAATTGATCCTCAAAACTTTTATATAATATATTGACCCTTCAAATATATTAAGTGGGTTCAATTGATAAATTACCCAATATGATACAAAAAAGATGAAATGATTCAACTAGTTTGACTACGCCCTTACCGATCCAACCTGTCTATTTGCCACCTATACCTCCAATCGACGCAAGTAGTTTGTCAAGTCGCTTTGGAAACGCTTACGTAGCTTGATGAGAACATAGAATACGGAAATAGTTTTTATAGAAACCAAAAAAAAAAAAGAAAAAGAAAGAAAAACCCCAAAAAAGTTGGGGTACGAAATGAATAGAGAAACCACTATTTCACAAAGCGAGGATTAAACGGCGAACCATTCGTCCTCAAAAACTTCAATTGGCTTATGACTTGTCTTTCTTCCCTACGTCCACTTTCGGTCTTTTAATCTTGGATCTGATTTTTTTTTTAATTCGAAATTTTTATTAGCTTTTATTGCTCTTTCATTCCTCAAATCTCTCCCAATTCTCAATCATAACCAATGTTTCGTACTCCACTTTCCTGTTAGATCTAATCATGGGTGGTGGTGGTGCAAACTAACTCCAACTCATTCTCATTCCTTTTCTCCCTTTGTTTCCCTCCAGTTGTATTTTCTAAGACCAACATTTCCCTTTCCTTTTTCTCGAATTCCATCAATTAATGACAACATTCTATTGTCATAAAAACACAGAAGGAAGGACTCTAACTGCTACCTTTCTTTGTTCCATTAATTTACAACTTCCTGGTTGGTCCTGCAACCTCTTTTTCAGCTTTATTTTATTTTTTAATTTTTCTTTTCAGCCTGCATTGACATAATACAATTATTTGTCTTGCATGTAATCATTTACATGAACAGATCAATATAACGAATAAATAAAAGACGAGATTCTAGCATATATTAATTTCATCAAACAAGACGTGCTCGACCAAATCATGCAAATGCAAGCATGATTTGGCTTTGCATTGCAAATTTGATTTTGCAACTCCATTTTCCATAATACCAAGCAATCAAATTGTTAGATTGATGTAGTTTTTATTTATTTATTTATATTTATTGTTGCTTAGGAATTTTGTCGACGGATTTACATCATTACGTTTCCCGTTGATGTCATCAAAAACTAACAAAATGCTCGACTCCACAGACGCAGAGGTAAGTGTATTCGCATTTCTATCTTATTTATTTATATTTAATCCAATTTTGTTGATAATTGTTCTTAATCACTTAATCGTTGATGATACAGTTGAGCGATACCTCCTCCGGGGCGGCACCATCTGACTACAAAATAACAGAGCTACATTCCAAGAAAAAAACCAGCTTAACTCCTGAACAAAGAAAGGAGGATCGGATGGCTAAAACCAGTGCCAGTTCACCTCATGGACCTGGATATACAAGTTCAATGTCCAAAGTTAATGAAAATGTGCCATCTAATCAGCAATATGATCCCAAAATGATGGATCCTGTTCATAAGCCCAAGATGCCACCAAACACGGATATTCAAAATACTTGGACGACAGTAAACATGAAAACAAATGACGCAAGAAATAACAATACAATGCATAGTAATCTTGTCCATGTCCAAGGGAGTGGAAACAACAGCCCCAGTGATAGCTTGGAGAGCTCCACGGCTCCCCTTAGGCCTCACACTGGTGGTGATGGACGATGGGATGCCATTAATACGGTCAGTGCCAAAGGTCCAATTGGTCTCAGCAATTTCCGCCTTCTCAAGCGCCTTGGATATGGAGACATTGGAAGTGTATACCTTGTTGAACTCAGAGGAACCAATGCCCATTTTGCCATGAAAGTAATGGACAAGGCATCCCTGGCTAGTAGAAACAAGCTATTGCGAGCACAAACAGAAAGAGAGATTCTTGGTCTTCTCGACCATCCTTTCTTGCCAACTTTGTATTCTTACTTTGAGACAGACAAGTTCTATTGTCTGGTCATGGAGTTCTGTAGTGGGGGCAATCTTCATTCTCTCCGTCAAAGGCAACCAAACAAGCATTTTACAGAGGAAGCTGCACGGTACTTAGTCCCCCTTTTTATTTTTCTCCAATCTTGCACGTGTTATTTCCACTATGCTTAAAGGATATGCTGCATTTTGGTCAGGGCAGGTAGCCAGGATCAGATTAGAAGCTGTTGTACTTGTCTGTAAAAAAAAAAAAAAAAGCGGATTGAACTTATTTAGAGTTATATATATAAATATCATTTGGTTTTAGCAGGTTCTTTGCATCAGAGGTGTTGCTGGCACTAGAGTATCTGCACATGCTAGGTATAGTATACAGGGACTTAAAGCCAGAAAATGTGCTGGTAAGAGATGAAGGTCATATCATGCTCTCAGATTTCGACTTATCACTCCGTTGCTCTGTTAGTCCAACGCTGGTGAAATCTTCATCTACACATCAAACAAGCAATGGTGGTGGCTCTGGTGGCATTTTGGATACTGAGAATGCTGCTGCGCATGGTTGTATGCAGCCATCAACATTTTTCCCCCGCATTTTGCCCGGTAAAAAGAATCGTAAATCTAAATCAGATTTCGGCCTCTTTGTGGGAGGCGCCATGCCAGAGTTAATGGCAGAACCGACAGATGTTCGCTCAATGTCATTTGTTGGGACACACGAATATTTAGCCCCAGAAATCATCCGAGGAGAGGGTCATGGCAGTGCAGTGGACTGGTGGACGTTCGGCATCTTCCTGTACGAGCTCTTGCATGGCACAACTCCATTCAAGGGTCAAGGAAATCGAGCCACACTTTTCAACGTTGTAGGGCAGCCACTGAGATTCCCGGAAAGCCCACAAGTGAGTTTTGTAGCTCGTGATCTTATACGAGGCCTTCTGGTAAAGGAGCCACACAAACGGATTGCATGCAAAAGGGGAGCAACAGAAATAAAACAGCATCCATTTTTTGAGGGAGTGAACTGGGCTCTGGTCAGAAGCGCCATGCCTCCCCACATACCTGAACCTATAGACTTTTCACATTTTGCTACCAAAGAGGATAAGAATAACAATCCTCCTCCTCATATTGGAGTTGGAGGGGATCAAAACACTGTTACCACTTCTGGGGACTACATAGAATTTGAGTACTTTTAGCAAACACAACTCCACTACCATTGTGAATTTTAATATTTACTACTCTATATATATATATATATATATGCTTGTTAAAGGTGATTGTTGCCATCCATTTTTAGGTGACACCAATAACTTAGGAATGGAGTTTTTGTGACAAGCTCCCCTCTTATCATTATTAGGAATGTCTAAAAGTTTTCACATCTTTTTCACTTGTATTTTTTTGTTATTTAAAAAAAAAACATGAAATAAGTAAAATTTTCACTTATAATTTTTTTATTATATTGGAAATTAAGTAAGGTGTAATAATAATAATAATAATAATAATAATAATAATAATAAATATCACATATCAATTTTTGTTACCCACGATAATAAAATTAATTAATAATCGGTTAAGTACATTTAATTATTAACACAAAATAGTACAGCTACTTCCAAGTTATATGCAATTATAAGTTACTAGGGTTTTAAAATATTTATTAATTTGGCTTTGAATTATATCACTTCGGGCACTTTGGTGTACAACAAATAAAAATTCATAATTAGGTAATCAAAATTTAGCTCCATTAAACACTTCTAAATACCTAAAGCTGTTAAATACAACTCTAAACCATCACTCAACTCTTTGTAAATTTGCTTATGTATGTATTGTCCTTTCTGTATTTCTCAATTTCTTTTTTTTATGAGATGCTTGTTCATTTTTTTTTTTTTTTTTTTTTATGAATTTCACGTCTAATTCCATTGACCTTTCACCTTGGTTTAGTAATTGTTTTCTCCTTTCGGACCCCTCTGTCAGCAAGTCTGCTTGGACCTGTGGGATCAATAACCATGAAGGCTCCACGGATCAATCTTTTTTTTTCCCCGGAATAGTAAAAGTTGAGTTACCAGTTCGAGTAGATTTTAGGGAACATATATTTTTTTTGGTTTTAGAGAGAAAAAAGAAGTAAATGACTGATAAAAATGTAAATTGTTGAAGAAAAAGACAAAAAAATTATAAAAAAAAGTCATGATTTTGGATTAAAGAAATAATAGAACAAATTCTAAGATTGTTAAGTGTCCATTTTTTAATTTGAGGGCCATTTTCAATTTATCTCAGATCACATGTGATTTCATGTAATTTAACTATTAATTTTTTGACATTTCACAGGTTATATACATATATATTTTTTTGGGTACGTAAAAAAGTAGACAAAAATTTGCTAATTCACACAATATCTCATTCTTGTAATACCAAACAATCCTTCTGCATGCTTGTCACCACTTGTATATGGGTTGTTCCACGTACCATCGAGAGTCCCCAACTACCTTGTCTGGCCAAATTCGCAAGAATATCGGCACATCTATTAGCTTCTCTATAAATATGTGTGATATTGCATTGCTAATCCTTTGATGCAAGCTTCTTTTATTGTAAAATAACTAGACTAAATGGATCCTTGTCTTCCAGAGGTCTTAAACCTTTGTTAACAAAGAATCTGATTCTATAATAATCTTCCTAACAGCTTTATTCCAAGCCAATTTCAAAGCTTCTAAAATAGAATGCAGCTTGTAGATACTTGATTTTGGTTACTAATATTATATTTTTATAAATTTCTCTAAAGTTATAAAAGTTAAAGATAAATTAGAACAAATAATAAAGTTGTTTTAGTGAAGGTTTTTTTACGGACCAATTATTTATGAACAATTTTTGCACAAAACAACTGTTTACAAAATAATTATTCAAGGAATAACTCTTTTACGGAACAACTATTCAAAGAATAATTCTTTCATAGAACAATATATACCTTCACAAAACAGTTGTTTTTGGAACAACTTCCTCAAGAAACAATAACAACACTTTTACCAAAATTTTACCAAAAGTTACTTTACTAAGAGTTATTCCACATAAGATATTTCATTGAATGTTATTTTACCGAATGAAGAAGTGGAAATAACCTCGGAATATGACAGGATTCTTGGGTTAATTTCACTATTGGGATGTTTAGGAGAGCTTGGCTTGGTGGATTAGATATGGAAATAGTTAAGAGATTTCCTCTTAACCTTTCCCTGAAATATAAGTGCTTTTCCTTTTTCTTTAAAATAGATAGTGAACTTCTTTATTCATTATATCCATTACCAAAAAGCTAATTAAACTCTCATTAAACAATACATTAATGCTTTTTATAATAATCAATTCTCCCATTATTCACCATATATAGTTCTTATTCAATACTCAAGATATGTAACTCTTATTCTTGAAACTTATAAATAGGAGTTTCCACAGTTCATTAGAGATTTCTTTAGACTTTGGCAGATTTCTCATAACTTACTCTCAAATTTCCTAAGTAATCCTTTCTTCCTAAATCCTCCTCTCAGCCATATTTTTTTCCCTACTCAGCCGTATTTCACCATATGCCACCACCTACTTTTGCATTCAATACTTCAAGGTCTGCTCCAATCTTTCTCTGCATTGTCTCTTGGCACATCTTGTTTTATTTGTTTGCACTGCTTTCTCACTTTATCAAAGAACCTCTTTACACAGCTCTGTCTTTAGAATACAGCCTCTGCCAAGTTTTAAAATGAAGCCAAATAACCACTATCCACCACTATCTTGACAAATGCCCCCGTTGTGAGTTCACTAGGATTTGTAGTTGCAACCCCATCCACATTGAACTTAACAAAGTCCTCTAGTGGCTTCTACCAACTAACCAACCTTTGTTGTTTTAGACATCTACTTGTTGCAATAGCCTTATGCTCCATATAGTCCCGTAGGCTATGCATTATAATGGTAATACCATCTAAAGGCCATCGAAAACCTTGATTAAATACAAATCTGTTTGAAAGCTTCCAAATGTGCTAGCAAACAAAGCTAAAGCAAGTAGTCCCAAAAACATCATTTATAACATTTTTCCCTTTAAGATTGAACTCCAACCAATCATTGAGAGGTAAGGAATAAAAATGATCAAGATGAGCTCCATGTAACCACCTTCTCTATAATTTTCTAGATTTTGGACAGTCTCTTAAGAGATGAAGTACAGATTCTACCTCATGATCACACCATAGGCACCTTGCTTCTCCAAGCATACCATATCTAACACACAGCTCTTTAGTCAACAACTCATTGTGTCAAACTGTCCAAAGATAAAACTTGATCCGCATTAAAAAGTCAAGCTTCTAAATTTGGTTCTAAATAAAAGGTTGACGAGTAAAATTATTCGCTAAATTAAAAGCAGAACTCATCATGAATATACCATTTGGGGAACTATTCCAAATAAGTTGGTCCTTTTTTCCATCTACTAAAGTAACTAAAGATAAAGGTTCCTTGACAGTTCTTGGCAAAATAATTAAAACATTTGCGTCCCATTGTCTATTCACGCAAGCTTCATTAACTTTTGCTCCCTTCAAAGTCAAAGGAATCGGGCCAAAACAATAATTAGTCAAAAGTTTCTCTAGTAACCATTTATCATGCCAAAGATACAAGTTCCTTGACAGTTCTTGGCACAATTTCTTGCTACCACCTCTTTGTTACTTAATATACTCCTCCAATATATGAACTTTTTAATTTTTAATCATAAGAATAAAATTGCTTCCAAGGTACTTAGATATTAGTAGTTTAGTACCCTCAGTCACAAACCATTATCATCATTCATAAGTTTCCAGCCTAGCTGATAATTCTATATTTTATAGAATTATCTTAAGCTTTATTGTATGAATTTTACCATGCTAGACTTAATTTTAGCTTAATTTCACCATCGTAAAAAATTCTTGCAAATTCCTCTAAGCTTGGTTAATTTTTCTTTTGTTTAGGTTACTAAGTCAAAAATGCAAATAAAGGTTAAGAAAAAAAATAGGAGAAACAAAGATGCCATAATTCCAAGACCCTAAAAATGAACCATGTAGATCAAGTTGGTGCAAGAATGTTTACCTAAGCTTGTAACCAATATCATGAATGGAGCACCCTTGATAATGTGGACTCTTAAGGAAGATGATATGAGCTGACCAAGAGCTAAGTGAAGTCATATTTTGACCTTGATTAAGTCATAAAAATAAAGGGTGGAAATTGGTATCATAATACCATGATAGAGATCACATGTTGCCAAACGTAAAGGAAACAATTTGTGCTAAAATTGTACTACTGTAATTGTTGATTTCTAGAAGGAATTGTGTGCTAAAAAATTCAAAGATAATATGAAATTAGATTGCCTTCCCATTAACCAAAAGGATAGCACAAGGCACACCAAACATGAAAAAAATTCTTAACATAAATTGATTGAAATTTGCAAGTTGTCCTCTTCCCTTAAGTCACAATTTATGCTGGTTTTGAGTTAAAAAAAATTTTCTTGTGAGCTAGCCTGCTATTTGAAATAAAAGAGAAAGATTAGTCCAAGAAGTGAGCTTGACATAATTCACAAAAAAGACAAACAAAGACAGCTAACAAAGAAGGCAGCTGCACCCTTAAAAATTTAGCTTGAAAATGATGCACAAGAGAGGAAAATTTTAAGGTTGGTGACTTGACTTCTTGGGACAATCTAATTGTAGGATAAAGATCTAGAAGAGGCATATTGAAGTCACATTTTTCATCCGTAAATGGAAACTTCTTAGCAACCATTCTCTATTTATTTATTTTTTTCCTTCTTGTTTCGAAGAAGACTAGTTCTGATTTTATTTCTTAGTTTAGGTAAAACTCCTAAGGCTGGTGCTAGCATTCTTGCTGGCCAACCAGACCTCTTTGGAAACATCATTTACTTCTTGTTTTAAGTTTATTTTCCAGTGCTTTTGTTGTTCTTTAAGTTTATTTGTAGTTTGTTTCAATTATAGCCCTTGAAAACATTTAAACTTTGTATTTTCTATTGTTAAATTTCAAGTTCAGTTGTTTACATTTAAAGTTGCTAGTTTTGTTTCCGAATTTGAGTTCTATTGCTTATTTATTTTTCAGCAATTTTTGCATGAAATTAAAGTTCTTTGAAGATTGGAGAGGATGGCTTTGGATGTTAATGTGATGATCACATTATAAGGCTCCAAAAGCTTGATCTTTGTGTGTT